GCGCGAGTTTGTTAGCTCACTCGTCGAGAGCGCGAGGTAAGAAGGGAAGGAAAACGAACGAGCAGGTGGAGAGGAAGCGCGCGTTGCCGGTAGTCGACGCGCGATCAGTATGCATCTGCGGTTTCCACGTTGATGTAACAAGCTTCTTCTTATCCGGCCGCGTTCTTGTCTCACTCGTTCCCGTCACGTGAGAGTCGATCTCTCGCTCTTCCCCTCGGTCTATGTACCCTACTTACATCGGCGCTTCTTGTGTAACCACCCAGGTCTATATTTTCCCCGTTTCGAAGCTTGAGTCGCGATGAGTCTAGCGGGAGAGTTAACCAGGTATGCCCGCCGCGCTTTTCTCGGCGGTTGCTTTCGCTTGCTGGAACCCGCCTACTTCTTTCTCTCGACCTCCGACGCCTACTGCGCCCCATTTCCTTCTTCTTCTTTTGCCTCTCCTGCTTTCCGCCGAGCGTTGATTGTGACCGAGCTTTTTGCGCGGCTTTGCCGGAGCTAACTCGGTCGTTTAGCGACGCGGGAAAGGAAGCGGCTGACGGGTGCGAGGGGTCGACGTCGGTGACAACGGAACTTGGTTGTGGGGGAGTGACGGGGGATGCAACGATGCACGCCCGGAGTGGTGTCGAAACAAAAGCCGCCATAGGTAATTTCACCGCCGGGTTGCGTATAGTGAGAGTGTGGGCAACGCGACGACGCGACGCGACGAAGCGAACAGGTTGTCTTCGACAATAGAGAGACGTTTGACAATTCGCTTGAAAGCGAACAGGAGGTATTATCTGGCAGCCGCTCGGGAAAATTGTCGGCAAGCTCTTAAACTTGCGGTGCAATGATGAGTCGTGTGTTTCGTGTTCGAAACACACGCTTCGAAGTATTTTTGGTCCCCGATCGTATAGCAAGTTAAAATTAATTCTTTATTCGTAATTATTACGATTGTATGTAATTATATCTTTTTATTTTAATTATAATTATTATAATTGAATTATAATAAAATAAAGAGATAGTTATGCACGCTAAAAGAATTATTAACATATTACACTTTTTTCAGACAAGATTAAATTAACAAATTTTGAGGAACACGAATTTGTTGCTCGCCCATTATTGCGCAACGATCATTTTTAAAAGCGAAAAGAAGTCTTAGAAAGACACGAACACCTGCACCCATTTCACTAACAAGATAAAATAATAATAACAGTCGCGGACTCTAGAGCTTCTGTGCTTCTTTTGACATCTTCGTATATGCGTGCATGTTGCGTATATGTGCATGTAATAAATTAATAAAATTACAAAAAAAATACGCACTCGAATTTACTGTAACTTTATATAATTATACAATTTAATATATAGAATTCTGTTACAATATAAAATATAATATTCATCAAGCAAAATATCTTTGGATTTTGACTCTGTTTTTCGTTCGGATATTCACGAGCACATCTTAAATCTAACTTTCCCTTATCTCTGGCAATGCTCCGGGGTAATTACATGGACATTTACTTCGGACGCAGACGTTAATTCGAGTTGTTTCGTTGATATCCACCAATACGACCACGCCTGATAACATTTTTGCAAGCAATTAGACCGTCCCGGAATGGCCACGTAATCTCGCTGCCTTAGCGCCCAAAATTCCGACAAACAATACACGCAAAAAATTCCGCTACTGGGTCATAATCTTGAATACCGAGCGTCCCAGAATTGGACAGTCGACGCCACACCATTTTCCCGCGGAAAGCTTTAAGTTAAGTTTTCTGCAATGCAGCGGTGGCAAGGGTGAAATATAGAAGTAATTTATCGGGATCAAGATGCTCTTCTTGAGTACTTTTAAGTAAGTGAGTCTTGCAATTCGCTTTTTTTCAAAGTGTATATTACATTCGAATATTACGCGCGCTTCCGTATTGTACCGCCTCGAGAAGTTTAACGGCTGTAACGGAAGTAATTAGAGAACTCTTTTCCTCGTGGACCTAAACCCGGGCATTTCCTCATGAATTGTAAATGTGACCAAGTTTTTTAATCTTAGTATCGTATCTGGAATTTCAGATTGTCTATTTACAATTCGTTCTTGCCGCTATAGATGCAAAGAGAAAAGAGAAAAGTTTCGATTATCTCAAAAATAGAATATTGAGGGATTTATGCTCAGATTTATACAGTTTTCATCAGTTTTTTTAATAAACGCGAACAAGTTTTATTACGAGTTATCACTTTAGAATCAATTATTTTTGCATCTTTTTGAGAAGTTTTATAAATATTCATAAAAATAAGAATTAATAGGTCTAAGAACGAAATATCGATATAGTTTGAAAAGTGATATTAAAGTGATGTCACTCGCTGAATAAAAGATTATTTTCTTTCATCCTTTCCATCGCAGTGGTAGCGAAATAGCGATATTTCCCAGCATATTTTCCGAAAAGGGCAAATATACATTTTCTGAGGAAATGTAAACTTTATCCTTTCGGATGGTCGTTCGGACGAAAGATCGCGCTTTTCTCTCCGACCGGTCGGAGCGTTCCTTCAGTTTTGTTACGCATGCAAATAATCCTTTGTGATGTTCCTGAAACGCCGGCCCTTCGAGAGAACGAGATTTGAGAGTGTAAAAAATAATAATAACCGCACAGAACGCTCAAGACACAACGCAGAAATTTCTAAACAATGCCATCTTATTTGAATTATCAGTGACGATGTCAAAGAGGTGTATTGCGCAAATGTTTTTCGCGTATTGCGCGCAAAACATTCCTTTCACTTGTTGTAAATATAGCATATTTCGTTTGAGAATCAAAGAAAAGTCACTATTTATAGAGAGAGATAAACACATTTCAGTTCAGCGATGTGAATCATCTACATGTTTGTGAAATTTCGTTGTGAAATCACGCGCCTGGAAAATCGATTTATTTATTCAGGTTTCAAGAACGGATTATATATTTGCACTGAAGCAATGTAGAAAAGTACAAACTGAATAAACAGAAAGGACTGCGTATTAATGCACACGATCCATTTTGTATAACATAAAATATTTGTTTAATAAGAAAATGATATTGTGTACGACTCTGATATGTTAAACAGATCTTTATAAGGTAAACAAAATTATTTTTTTACGGACAACTCGAAAATTTGAGAAAACTGGTACAGGACTTTCTTAAGCGAGCGAACGTAACAACTTAAGGGTTGAAAGTAGCGATCTGTCATTGACATAGCTTTATAAAATCTAAAGATTTAGAGAAATATAATTAAATTAGTAAAAAAACAAAAAAATTAATACGTAAAAATCAACAAGCGCTCAGCTCTCTCGATGAGTCGTGGAAGCTCGATTAAACATGCGTTGTGCAACTTCTTCGCGAGTATGCGCGGTGCTTCATTGACACGCCATTCGTCGTATTCACGCCTGCACGCATGTGCGTGATACGAAACGCGATTATGGACGGCCGTCGTCGCGACGCGATAACATGGAGATTCACGAAGTCGTCGAGGTCGTCGTCGTCGTCGCGACAACATTCTGATCTGCATCTAAATTGGAAAAAAGCGTTAAGCTTCACGCGTCGTGAACTCGTTTGCGTATCCGGCCGCAGATTTTTATATGCATACGGGTGTGTGATAATTCTGTTACACATCATCAGATGAAAGAGTAGCGAGTTTTCTCCCTTTCGAGAGTAGCGTTTCCTCTTTCGCATATAGATTTATTATTCTAATACTCTAAGTAATGAAAATTTTTAAAAGTTATTTTCTCTCTATTGCGTAATGAGTAATTATCTAGAAAACGGATAGAAACCTCGTTTATTTTTCGTTTCATATATATAACACTGATAAATTTCCGGTTACAGCAAATAATATTTCGTAAATTGAGGATTAACGCAATATAACTTGTTAATGAAGAAGATTGTTCGAGCGGATAACGTGTATGTATGTTGTCTAAACGTATGTTGGTGGAATTTGTATATAACTACGCAATTTGGATAGACAATTTAAATGCAAATATAATTTCTTTTTCCATATGCATTACGAGAAAATCATATATCATAATTCAATATAACCGTCGAATTGACTAGAGAAATGTGTGCACAAAGTAGAAAGTCAAACGATGAATTTATATTTCCCGATATCGCGGTATCTGAGTATTTTTATGTAGAATTCAAATTTTACGATAGCATACGCACACACGCGCACGTGTTTTTTTTTTACTAGTATATACGTATACATCATATATATTTAGATGAGAGCTAGTAATAAAATTAAAATAACTTGAAAGCGAGGTTTGTTTTATTGATATTCTTTTACGTTACCGACAATTTATTTCGATATCAATGTCCACTACGAGCTTGTTACGTATAAGCGGAAGAGAAAACTTTTCCGCTTTTGATATTTTTCAACAACTTTATCGTTGCTTCGAAAAAATCAATGCCTGTTACTTTGGTAACAATGTGGCCTGTTGTTACCTGCGTACGCAGCATTACCAGCGATGTGGCAACACACGCGTCGTTTCGAATAGCTTTTATCGCCCCATAAAGCATTCGATGATGTTGACATATAGGTATTGAAGCTGTAGGTGCGGTAACGTATGTATATATGCGACGATAGATTGTTTTACATCTTTCATTGAGATCCTGCCAATCTTTCAAAGGCGCGATGTAGCTTGCCATCCCGTGCGAAATAATGGCCGATAAAACATTATCGTGAAACGAAAGTATAGTACCTCAGTATGTCATGCTTTACGAATATAATACGGAAACTAATCGTAAAATACGATCTTGCCGTAATCACTGAAACATTTTCCAGCGAGATTTCAAATCGGTTTTTCTTTATCAATGCAAAGGCGTATATTTTCTGCATTACAAAATGCGAAATCGTTATATATGCAAACATATCGAAGAAACCATAAAATAGATGTTTAAATTCTCGCATCTCAAGCATCTTACGTCTTTAATTATAAAATCGAGACTCGCAAGCATTGTATTATCTTTTCCAATATGTGTAGTGCACACATTTCTACAAACAAAAAGCTCATGTGTGTTTACCTGGATGATCCTCGATTTATTGAGGATTGTGTTGCCCGACGGCTGATAGCGTTCCATGTCCCTCAGGATACTACGTACGCCGACGTCATCCGCGTCGACCAAACGAAAGGCAGTGATATTGACAAAATTGTACTTGAAGTCCTCGAGGTCGAAGGTTTCGATATCCTGCGGAAAGCGAGCGAATCGAGTCGCGGACCAAGTGGGGTCTTCACTTGTGCGTTTCAATATCCCTAGGGTACTTACGAAAGTCGTGAAGAGGTAGTGGTACTTGTAATCATTCATCTGCAGCTGCAAGATCTGCAATACATGCGAAGCGACACGGTCAGTCGAGGCTGCTTCCGCGAAAAGGAATATATATTTTAAATACAAGTCAGTGATCTCAAAATCGGAGCATGCCTAATTCTTTTTATCTCAGCACGAGAGTTTACGGTTACTTTAATTTCTTAAGTATATTTCTTTTATAATACGTATAAATTTGTTGTAACAATTTGGAACTAATCATACTAATTTTCTCAAAAACAATTCAAGCATAATATCATTAATATCTTTCCGTAATTTCTTAATAATCAGTTTTGCACATTTTTATAATTAAATAATAAATTTTTCTTTAAATCAATAATAATTGTAAAATATCAGGAAAATAACTTGTGTATATATATAATGTATCTGTATGAAAATATGTAAAATGTGAGAGAGTAGGATGATTTGTAGAGACATATAGAATAATTTACCATTCGTAGAAAATGATGCATGTGCTCGGGTTTTGTGTCCACGATGATATTTCGAATTTCCTTGCTCTTTATTTCGGAGAGGACCTGCCTGTACGAGTCGCGGTCTGCTTGCCGGAGGCTGACTTCGATATCACGGATTTTCGGTGACTTCACTAGCTCCCGAAGCTTCACCAATCCTGAAAACCGAGGCAGATACGTTATTTGTCTCAACAATATGTATATACCAATGAACGCTAAATGTAAAGAGTTAATTTCTGAAGAGGGTTTCGAAGACGCGATGACACGATTGTCGATGTCAACGCGAGCGAATCGTTTGCTTCGCGATCTCCGCGGGGAATTATCAGGTCGGTCGCTTAATGGCACGTGAAACCCGTGAATCGCGCTATCCGACGAAATCAATACTCTCCAGCGCCTAAGTAATCAAGGTATCTGACTTGCAGGTCTTCCGAGGAGACACAGGCTCTATTCTCTTGCAAGTTACCGGCGGGAACTTCGACTTTCGAGATTCCGACACGTGCCGGAGACGAGCGACAACGTTTCGGCCTGTCAGTTTCCTTCAGGGCACGGAATGCCGAAGTCGGGATAATCTTTCACGGTAAACTCCGCCCATGCAAACGATCCGCTGATTGATGCCTTCGAGTTTGCTCGGGAGCATTGACGTCTAAATATATACCGATCGTATCACGTTAAAGAGTGGTCTACGTATATGAGGTTACACAATTTTATCTTCATTTAAAAGTTTCTAGCGATATAAAAAATAAAATTACACATCTATCAGTTTTACTTGTATGAACAAGTCGAATGATTAGCATCAATCATTAATTTGATTTGAGGCAAATTACAAAATATTCCGTACATAGAAGTGTGTTCGCACATCTTCTGCTTTGTAAAAAAAAAACATGATAACGTTTTTTGACAAGTAGAAACTCGATATAATCACAAATCGCTCTCTAAGGAAAAAAGAAAAAAGAAAAAGAAAAAATAAAGTTTGCCTTGCATAAATATATATACGCTCAAGTGTTAACAGCAATTAATCCAGGAGCGAGTAAGAAACCGAGTTTAATTGAAGCCGTGTCAAGCGGTAACTCGAGGAAGACCAATGTTCTCATGTAAGCAGATTTTGTATCCCGGGGGACAACATCCGACGACTATCTTGGGGAACACTATGAATAACCGCTGCAATAGCTCGAAGTTAAGCGTGCATGTTTCGTTGGTATACACCAATCCTGTGACAACCGAGTGTAGTATCTTTGCGGTATAATGTCAAGTCGCGCATGGAGAAAACCAGTATCGTGACAAATTATTTTTGCGTAATAGCGACACATATGATCTATTTTACGAATATTAAATAACATATATATACTTATCATAATATCTCTTCAACGTACTTAATTATTATTCTCTTTAATTTGATAACAGATAATTGCAGTTTGATAAAATATTGCAACAAGAGGATAATTTGCGTAATAACTTAATCCGACACATGTGGTGATTTACTTTACATACCTATATTAAATAACATATCAATACTTATCGTAATATCTCTTCAACGTACTTAATTATCATTCTCTTTAATTTGATAACAAATAATCGCAGTTTGATAAAATTCGCAAACGTTTAAAACATCCTGCACGAATATTAAAAAATAATAATTATAAATTAGAAACATTTTGCGCGGTGAACGGTAGTTTAAAGAGGTAATTAAATTGTTGGGCGTTACAGCTTGAATTGAAAATAATAACTGGAATATTTCTCACGTTTTGCGGTGTGACTCGTTGTAGCACGAATTATGAACACTTTGCGTGTGCACCAAGAACGGACTTTCATGGGAGTCGTTTGAAATGGCGGTTTCAATTAAAATAGCATTTCGAGCGTTTTACTGCTCTTCGTAATTTTGCGGGCGATAAGATAGATAGATAGAAAGAAAAAAAAGAGAGAGAGAGCGCACGGCATATTTCATTAAAATTGACATGGCCAGAAGCCATAAAGCGTGATGCATTATCGCGAATTGCGTTTCAAGGCGTTACAACAGGATAGTCCGTGAACATTCATCAAAGTGGAAGAACAGGACGTCGTTTACGATTCTACAATGCGAGGGAATTGCACCATTTACAGATTACTAACTAGGGAATTGGTATTATCCGACTTAACGTACTTTGTGTTTAAGGGGTACCGTGAAAGCATTACGTTTCTAGAGGGTAAGGCATGACGTGCGGAAGTGAGAGCAATGCAACGAAATTTCTCACTGCGATCCGCGTTGCGGTTTTCAACTTAACTTAAGAGCACGATATTATCCTGGTTTTCGACAGCAAGCATTGAGAAATGTTTCTACAATGCTTTTACACGCTTGTATATAATAAAACTCGTATAATAGGCTTAATAGGCATGTTTCATAATCTACACAATTCTTTTTTGTATTTAAATGATAATGGTAATAAAAATCGTTAATAAAAACAAGTAAAAATAAAGCTATCACAACCACTAGAAAATAGAGAACTGACAATAAGTATCGTCGACGTCGCACAAATCTTGAGAGAGACCGAGATAATTGTGGTCGCATCACTTTGTAGGGTTTTATAAGTGCGAAACGAGAAAAAAAGCGAGGCAAACCGAGTGCAGCGGCTACTTGACGATGACAATAATTTCTCCGGAGAGTCGGAGGACTGTTCATGTCTATTCCCCGGTGGAAGACAGATTATCATATTGGCTTTTATACACATATACACTCTAATGACGACCACTTACGGATCCGTTCTCGAAATGTCGATATGCCTCGACAGTGCGAAATATTGCGCTGAGTCGGCGCGCGCGAAAGGAAGCTGTCAACGATTACTTGCCTCTTCCTTTTTCGCTTCTCGCCCTTCGAGTAGATCGCGCGGTGACAGACGATCGAAATAATTGGATCGCCGGCTGTCTTAAACATGCGCATTTCAAGAGGAACGGTCGAATGAATATTGGAGAGGTGAGCGAGCCGCGGCAGAGCTGAGAGATTCGATTTGGAAGTACTTTAAGAAATAGGGCTTTAGAATATAAATGCGTTTTTGGCTATGTAAAAAAGATACTTGATGACGCTTTTAATAATATTCCGAGAAAGTAGGAGGGGCAACTTTTCTTGCAGAGTCGCAATTATATTCCGACAAAGAACGAGGGAAATATAGCGATTGCTTTTGTGAAGAAGTTTCTTGCTTTTGTAAAAAAGTCGCACAGTTAGTTCTTCTAAATTTACTACAGTCTTATATATAATATTCTAAAAGAGCAATATTTCTAAAAAATTTCAAAATTTTTTTAGATAAAAATTTCACAATGGCAAAAAAAATAAAAAAAATCAACACACTGCAAAATCAACATAGAGAGAACTAACTGAATTTTCCAATCCTTTAGTTATACATCATTCAAATCTAATCGTTATTTTATTGTAATAATAACAAAGGATGTGCGAGTTTTTTGTGAGTGTATCAATGCTAAATTTAATTCAACAATTGTTTTTCCATAAAAGCAAAATCAAAGAGAGAGAATTAAAAACTGGAAAAAAGCGGAAAATAAATTCATGTTTATTAATCCCCTGAGGCAATTAATATTTTCAATAATAGCGCATTTGTTTCAAAACGTCTATAATTACATTTTCCTTGTTAATTGATTAATTAACCATCACTAACGACTAATTTTTTTTTTTTAACAATGTTACACGTACGAGATGGATTAACTGTGCTAAGGATCGTGAAGAGGCTTGTTTTCGGAAGGTTTGCTCGTCCAATCGGGACCGGTCAGTCGCTCGTGCGGAAAGACGACATATCGTCGAAACTTTCGACGATCGCCGAGTTATATTCGGAAAGTTCGCAAAGACTTTCGCTGCGTCTGGGAACGTATTCCCATTCTTGCGTCCCTCCGTTGCCATGATTTAGCTATCGTGTAAAACATACGCGCTCGACTGGACACTTGCACGGGACCAGGTCGGTCATAAAATTCTCATTATGACGGAGAGAAATTCTTCCTCGCATTACGCAAGGATGCACCATGCGGCGAAATATCTGCGGCAGGAGTCCCAAATATGGCAGCGACCGCGTATACTGTGTAACTTTTACACTGCTCACGTTCCGTTCCTTGTGTATTCTTTAAACTTCCAAATTATTACGCTTAGATTTTGTGAAAAAACTCGTCGAAGTTCGCGTATAGGGGCAAAACCATTTAGTACACGTATAGCTGCGAAATTAGAGAGGAACTAGCCTGTTTGGCGAAATTTGAAAATTACGTGAGAGAAATTATCGATCTCTCAATAATATTCGAGATACGTGAGGAAAATGACTGGTAGCGATAGTCACTACGGCGAGATTATTTAGAATACGTGACTGAAATGATTGACGGCCAATTACGTTTAAGATATACAGAGATTACGTTCTCCTTAAAAACTTACAATGTGTGATAAAAATGATAAGCTACCATTATTTATCAGAGGAGATCAAAATGTCAGATTCTAGAAAACAAAATCTGTGCTGTATTTATTTCAGAATGTTATATTAATCCGTAGGATGGTATCAATGATATCACATTACATCTTATACACAATTTTGTACATGGACAAAGCTAAATTTTCTAATTTACGACTATTATAATAATGTTTGATAGAAAAACATTTTATATTTTCCGCTTGACCTCTTTCTACACTTTTAAAGACAAAAAATAATCAAGGAGTGCGATTTGGCATTCAATATGGATATTCGTAGAAAAACTAAGCACAAGGTGCCTGAAGCTTTCCTTCGTATAGGTCTTGTAGATCCTCACATTGCTGCTGGGCTGTCACTTTCAGAGGTTATAAAAATACAAGACCGCACATAGCCTGGTTTTGACGGATCTCACGTAAAAAAGGATTTGACGTTTCATACTTGAACTAGCGAACTTTACGAGGCGAGCGTAGTCTAGAATAAGAAGAAAACATCTACGGGCGGAATATCGCAGATAAAATGTCGAAAATAAGAAACATATACCTGCACGTGGCATTAAATTTTATTTTATCATAAAAATGGCGCATTAAACATGTTAGCAATACGTTTTGCAAACTAACTCCATTTCTGGAGTTAAAATTGCAAATATTTTCCGGGCGGTTTTATTTTAATATATTTTAATCTCGTAACATATCCGCGATGTTCGATAAAATTCGTGAGATGCAAAAATTTTTCAA